ATTTAAGAAGATTTATGTTTCTCCACTTGTCTTCTCGAGTTGCGATTATCTTGGATACTCTATTCAGTGGCATTAAGGTGACAGCAAAATCCAATGATAGAGTTTATAGTTGCAATGATATCTATGAATAGACACCACTGACAACGGTTAGCTAGAAAAATGTGGGCCATATTAATTGGTCTACCCGGAGAAAGGAGACGATCATCTTTAAACGCGGCAATACAAAATTTTTGAGCGTAGCCGCAATTTTTCGATTCATCTTCAAAAAATTTGTCAATTGTCGCCAAGAAGCTGCTCAACTAAGTATCACTTCTCATCTTCCTCGAATATCGTTGTTGGCAATAACTTTATTGATGAAATAAGAGACAAGCTGAATTAATAGTTGTCACAAAATTGACAACAAAAAAGAAAACTTTTCCAGAGAAAAGATGACACATACAATGTTAATTTGTGGTACTTAATGGAGCTCAAGTTCTGATTACAAACTCAATCATTTGATTTACTAACAACTCAGATCTGATTGGGTCCAGAGTGACTAGAATAGATTGCGACCGAGGATAAAAGTTCGAAAACAAAATCTCCTTTAGACTTGTTCTATTCTAATCAAAACTCAAAAGCAAAATAGTGAGTCAATCATGGTGATTACTCTAGGAAATGTGGATGTGGGTAAGTATGGATGTGGATTGTAGAGTGTCTTGAACTCATATACAGGATCACTCACACCTACACCCACACTCCACACTCACATCCAATCCACAAAAAAGGAATTGAAAATCTCACCTACGGCTCGGGCAAACGAGCTGATTTCTTTTTATCAATGATAGGGATACTTTCAGGCTTTATATTCATAAAGGCATGTCTAGACAGATCCTTTGTTAAGTATATTGTTTTCTTTTCCTACCTGTGAAAAAGTAAATATTTTTATTCAGGCCATTAGTGATATTTAACAAAGAGTCTCTCTAGGCATGTCTTTATGGATATAAACTTTGAACATGCCTCTATCATTGACAATAAAAGTCAGCTCGTTTGTTCGAGCCATAAGAGAGATATTCAAATTTTTTTTTTTGGTACATGATTTCTGGGACACCCTGCAGTTGTAAAATTGATCTATGCATGTCATTTTGAATTTAAACTAGTCTATAGTGACCATTCGAAATACTATGTGACTATGATGAGAAAAGCAAAGAAAACAATTTTTATCTTGATTTTAATACTCTTCATCATATTCTCGTCTAAAATTAGTTGTAACTATTCTAAATTGATTTTATATATAATTTCAAATTCGTCAGACTCTGTAGGACATTTAAAAGATTTTAAAAAATCGTGTAAATTGCTCATGAATGAAAGTTATTTCAAATGAAAAATACGTATCTATTTTCTGTATATCTGCATTACTTTTTGTTAACTTAGTTGATGAATACACTTCTAAACATATTTGATGATTAATTTTATTTTTAATAATAAAATTCATAATAAGGCGTGGAACGAAAGTTTCTAGACAAAATATTTAACTATTTTTGTGCATATTTAAATGCATAGTATGTGCTTAGAATTTTTCTCGGACTTTTGACTTTTGAAATTTAAGTAAGACTGCATCAAATAAGTTCTGTAAATATAAAGTACTTAAGGAATGATGACTACTATATAAAATGACGTAAGAATGCAAAGTTTTGGTTAATTCGAAAAAGAAATCACAGAGTTCTGACAAAGGTTCATTTTGTACTGCAGAAGGCAAAAATCTGAAAAATAGCTATTAGACTTTATGTTACATTTACTTATAGCTCCATGGTCAAAAGTCATAGAAGAGTATTTATTCTAAAAGAGTACATCCAATGCATTTAAATATGCGAAAAATAGACAAATATTTTCTTTAGAAATTTTCGGTCTATTCGTTATATAAAAATGATTTGAAAAGAATACAATCCATTTTCTTTTGCCCTACTTTTTTTTAGCTGAATGATTCTCATTTTAATATCCAATAATTTGTTTATCTCACTATAGAATATATTGTTTTTTTCCGTTTCTGTAATCGACATAACATCTTGCTTTCATACAACTTTATCCAGGCATCAACACTTTATTAGTAACATTTACAACGCATCACCATGCACAACTGTGTATATTTATTCTTTTTCTCCCTTCATGCTTATAAATTCAAGCCTTTCTTTTATCTCACTAGTAAACATATATACATAGATACGTTCTTTATCATGGCTTGATACAAGAAAAAAAGAAAATTTATATATCTTATTTATTTTATTTAAGTGTATCAATGGCCGCCTGTTATTTATCTAAGGACAAATAAATTGAATTAGTTCAAATAACTCAAAGTCTAGCTACATCGGATAAAGGAATTTTAGCTGTAGATGAATCAGCAGGTTTGTTATAGGAATTTCTTTTTTTTTGTCATTATTCAAAAGAATAAATAAATTGATTTAGATATCATTGAAACACGTTTTTCACCAGTAAATATTGAAAATAATGAAGAAAATCGTCGATATTATCGTCAATTATTATTGCGTACAAATAATTTCCTTGTTTATTAAAAGAAAATGGAATTATAATAGGTATTACAGTTGATAAAGGTATGGTTATATTAGGTGGAACAGATGATGAAACAACAACACAAGGTTTGTACTTAAAAGAAAATTAAGATTAAAAAGTAAAAAAAAAATTATGTTTTCGTAAATATAGGTTTAGATGATTTGGAAGAACGATGTCGAGGATATAAAAAACTTGGTGCACAATTTGCTAAATGGTGACCGCGGGTGTGGATGTGAAAGGATCAGATCCACACCCACACTCACACCCTCAAGATACAGAAATTTACTGGTAACTTTCAAAATTGTGGTTCTTTCTCATTCGAAATCAGAGTGATATTTATGTTAAATAACGATAGTAATTTCTGAGAAATTATCAATATTTTGAAGAATATGTTTTTGTTCTCCGCAGGAGAATATATATATATATATGGTAATTTTCGAACTTTCTTACTGATGTGAAAAGAATTTCTGAAATTCGATTTTTCATGAGAAAAATTTACTTTTATGGAAATCGGAATACTTCCGCTTAGGGTACGAGCTAAAATAATATTTAAAACCACTTCCATTAATGGCAAGTTTCAACTATCAACTTTTCCGACGCATGTGAAAGAAAAATTTGTATTCATTTTAAAAATATCGAGTATAGTTGATAAAGTCCTGGAATCGAACTTCAAGACCGGCACTTCGTCGAAGTTACATCAGTAAAACAATCGAATATTTCTACTCGATTTATCCTACTAACGTCGAAAAGGATGTGGATGTGTTCTCTTCACTTTCATCTACCCAAACCTATACCCGTATTGAATTCTTTATCATCAACTAAATTATCAGTTCGACATTTTTCTTTTCGATGAAAGTAGAATTTACCTTTTAATCTTACATAGCAACGTCTTCATGCTTCATATGTTAAGTAATGAACAAAAATAAACTGTTGATTTATTAATAAGTTTCAAAGAAAAAGAACATCAGAAAGACAATCTCATTACAAGTAGCATAAAAGAAAATATGTATAGTAGTCAAAAAAAAATTCCGAAATCAAAAAGTTTAACTCTACAAGGTTCTAATGCTTATTATTTTAACACAAGCAAACTAAGAGTACGAACTTTTTTTGTCGGCACATATGTAATTCATTTGTGAAAACATGATAAATAGGAGAAGATTTTCTACGTATGTAAAAAAACAAAAACAGATTAATTGTTGGTTCATGGAAATATATTTACACAATAAATGTAAGGAATGATTTTCATGTTCAAAGAAATTTAATTAACCAGAGGAAGCATGAATTGAATCATTTTCATAAGGGAAAGCTAATTGTTTAAGTAACATTGAAAAATTTTTGAATATGTCTATGAGTTTTTCTGATAAAAAGTGTATGCATTTGTTTAATTCAAATGATCTTATCTCGAATTGAACAAGATTACAGGCTGAGACTATGTTATAGTAAAATTATTTTTTGACTAATTATCATGACTATGAGAGGGTAACTTTACAATTGTATTAGCATAAAAACTTCAATTAATTTTATATCTTCGCTTCATTCACCATTGATGAAAGAAGTATAGAATGGAATAGTTGATATAGCTGCTCGTTCAATACCAAGTGACTTAAAATTTTGATGAATTACTATCTATAGATAGAGGTGAATATGAAAGAAAATAAAATTTTGTTTTGTTTAGCAAAATAGTCTTGCTTCATTGGGAAGATATGAAGCAGCCGCCCAGGTCGACGATTATGGACTTCGTATATGACTTTAAACGACCGTCTACGACCTCGATGCGATCGTCTATGGTCGTATTTTACCGTAATACATGACTTAGTATTGCGATCGTATGTTATCGTGACCGTATACGCTGTGATACGATCGTTTACGGAGAAATACGCAGTAAAACGATCGTCATATTACTCCGTATACGACATGGAGATTGACCATCGTAATACTGAGCCATGTATTTCGTCGTATTTCTCCGTATACGATCGTTTACGACCGTGCTTGCTCGACCTGAGCGCTTGAATAAAAAACGAATAATTGTTTTAATATTATTTTCTTATTAAATATTTTAAACATCAAATATGTCCCTTACAGTGATGTCACACTGATACAACTCGCCATCTATTTTCATTTCTTTATTTTATTTTATTTTCTATTTCTTTTTCTATTTCTCTTCCAGTGATATATCTAGTATTTTCCTTTGTTATTGTTATCCATATATCTTGTCTCTGTTCTCTTTCTTTTTTCTCTTTTCTTTTCTCGTTCACTGTATATGTACCTGCTTTTCATTATTTAAACAGATAATAAAAGATCGTGTGCAAGTGTACACACACACACATATACACATTTTTAAAAGAAAGAAAGAGAACGAACTTTAGTGTTGATCTAAAAGGATTGACGCTAACAATGTCTAATAAAAAAAAAAACAAATAGATCGATTAAATTGATTTTAATTATTTTTGTAGAATATGTTTCGTCATAATTCTTCATCATCAATGAAATATATCTTAGTTACTGGTGGTGTTATTAGTGGAATTGGAAAAGGTATTATTTCATCAAGTATTGGTACAATACTTCGTTCTCATGGATTTCGTGTAACATCAATTAAAGTATATTCAAAAGAATATATTTACAAATATATAAAATTATTTATTTTTTATCTAGATTGATCCATATATAAATATTGATGCAGGCACTTTTTCACCATATGAACATGGAGAAGTTTTTGTACTTGATGATGGAGGGTAATTCAATTCTTAATTAAGATTTTTATTTTTTCAATTCATCTTTCTGAGAAGATTACATAGCATCTTTAAAATAAAATCCAAAGCAATTTTCGTTTAGTCCAAAAAACACATGCATTTAACGGAAAATAGAATAAAAGTAGGGATGTATCGAGATTGAATCTTTCGATTTTGACATTCATGTATTTTGATTCAAATTTCCAAGAACACCAAATTTTTTTTGAATAATTCAATCACATATGGCACTGGAATAGAACCTGTCAGGTTCAAAATAATTCGGATCTGGGACTAGCCCGACGAGCTCTATAACTAACTTCTAGTCATTTGACTGTCTATTGATACTTTGAATTGAATCGAATTATAGAAAATCGGTTATTATGTGTAAACTATATATTACATAGAATTAAGATGTTTTGGAATGTGAAATAAATCATATTTTGTTGTCGAATATCTATCAAAAAGAATGGTAAGATAATTTTTGCTCAATGTATGTCGAGTTTTCGATTTTCTTTTAAATGCGCTAGAAAATGTTTTCTTTTTTTTAAAACTTATTCATTATCTTAATAATGAGTTTGTTAAGAATAAAATAGACAAATTGCTCGATTGAAAACAAAAATCCTATTGGATATGTTTTAGAACACAAAAAAAGGTTTCTTTTTTTTTCATTTCTAGTGAAGTTGACTTAGATTTGGGTAATTATGAAAGGTTTCTTGATGTAACATTACATCGTGATAATAATATAACAACGGGTAAAATTTATCAATATGTTATTGATAAAGAACGTCGTGGTGATTACCTTGGTAAAACTGTGCAAGGTTAATTAGACAAACTATATCGATTCTTAACATAAATATTGATTATTTCTATAGTTGTACCACACATAACAGATGCAATACAAGAATGGGTTGAACGTGTTGCACATATATCTGTTGATGAAGATAAAGCTGAACCAGACATATGTATTATTGAAGTAAGATTGACAAGAAAAAAAACTTTTCTTTTTCGGCAGAGTAGGAGAAAGAAAATATCATATGAACTTGTATTTTTTTTTTTGTTTTAGCTTGGTGGTACAATTGGAGATATTGAAAGTATGTCATTTGTTGAAGCATTTCGACAATTTCAATTTCGTGTAAAGAAAGAAAATTTTTGTTTGGTTCATGTCAGTCTTGTTCCACAAGTTTGTATT